CAGTTTCACATGAGAGAAACTTTCCCTTAAACGTTTAATATAACTCATGACAAATTGAGCTGCTTAGCCAAAAATTATTACTTGACATGAATTCTGTAATTAAAATCAGGTAATCCTTTATCACATCTTGCTGTGCAACAAAAAAAACCTGTTCTCAAAGACAGTCTTTGAAATTAAGTAAGAGCATGAAAAATACAAGATGAAGCACTAAGAAAGCAAATCTTTAAAGGGTTTCTAGCAAGAGTAAAACCACCATCCACAAGCTGTAGCACAGCAAACAACGTATTTCAAACAAAGAACAAAAAAAATTGTTGCAAATGCAGGTAATGCAATATTTAAAAAGCAAAACTACCTAAGGAGTTACCAGAGACAACATACATATGCAGCATTTCAGAAACAACTAGTTCTGCAGTTGTGGTTCTGCGGTCAAAGCATTTCCTTGGTGTGAGTACACAGGGTGTGCAGCTGCCCCAGACCTAAGGACACTGTCCCTCGTACCCCCGATGGCATCGCTCCAACCACAAGAACGGAGTTCGGGTGGTTGGTGAGGTCACCAAAACACTGCAGTGCATTGTGTACATCTCCATTTTCCTAGATATGGCATTTTTTAAAACTTGAATTAGTGCCTGGATTTTCTGGCTATCAGACTGTACAGCCACGTCCCTCAGAAATTGGATCTGGTTCTCCATTTTCTGGCTGCTGAGACACCCTCACTACCCAAATACCAATGGGAACTTGTGTATTCACAATATGGAAAGATTAATGCACGTGTAAAATTCTGCAGGATCAGCAGCTTGGTGTGTGGTCAGGGTATTGGACTATTTATTTTTGTCAAGTTTATTGAGCACCTAGAAAAATCCCATTATAAATAAAGCAGCATGCTCTTAATAAAACTTGACATGCATGGTAAGTTTTCAATTTATAACGGGGCTTAGATACATAACGTTTTTATTTTAACTCTGTGTTTTAATTTGATTTCCTACAGCCATGTAGTTACTTCCCTTGAATTTATTCTCAAACTAAGAAAGCTCCTCCATTTATTTCCTAAATGCTAAAAGAACTACAGGTTTAAAAACTTGTTTTTATGCTTAGAAACCTCATACTGAAAGAACTCATTTACACTGAAAAACACCAACTTCAGGCTCCATTAATTATGCTACTGCAAAAATTCTAAACGTTCACAGCAGCAATAAGCAAATATCCCATGAAACATTCCCAGACAAGCATCATTTTCCAATCTATTGAGCTCACAGTTCAAAAAGCTCAAGTGCTATTATCAGGCTATGCTCAAGCAACACTTGCAGGTTCAGTCAATAGAACTTTTGTATTTAGGAGCATCTGAAGACCTGACTCACAGCTACTTAAAATTCAGGTTAGCAAGTTAAACTTTCATCTGCTACAGTTCCTTCTGTTCTGGGGGACAAAATAAATAAATAACTAAACAAATACTTATTTTAGTTACTGAAGTGCCTAACTTGTTATTGCCAAATATTTTTTAAACTGAGTCAATTTTGAAGAAAACAAAGAAACAGTTAATAATTCATCATTAACCTAATCCTGTAAACACCTGATTACACCATAATTTGAAGAAATTACTGTCCTCAACAGGAAAAAATACTCCAATTAATGGTTCCTGCTCTATCACACACTTTTGCTGGTATCAAGAGTTTTTAAAATCTAGTGCATATTCTCCTGGTAGTTTTGAGTTCCTCTCTTTTTTACAGAAAAATACCCAGAGAGTTATCTACAGATTTCCAGCTCCCACAAGCACAGCTAAAAAAACATCACAAGCTATAAAAAGAGTTTCTAGCAAATCCTTAATTTGATTTGAAGCACGTATTTTTGATGCAAGTACTTCCATAATTTCATCTTGATTTATATTTGTAATGTCTGCTGTAGTGTGGCACTTATTAATTAAACTGATTAAGGATCTTCAGCTGTACCATAGGCTCTCCACTCTTCCACCCACTTTGCTCCTAACTGTCATTAACCTCTAGGAAATGTCCTCTTTGTTGGTTATTACTGTTTAATTATACTGTATAGTTATGTCATCACATCTGTGAAATACAACCTCCCATAACAACACAGCTGTGGAATATGATACTCCTGCCCAGCAGTAAAGTCCTGGTTACAGCAGAGAATCCACACACACCACGCTGATGGAGGAAATGATACAAAGCTTTTTAAAAGCCCTTGATTTTGAGTAGGGCTGTTGAGACAGGAGGTAAGTACAGGCTTCAAGAGAGGTCTCGAACTCCCCCTCTTTCCTCCCTTCCCACCCCTCCTGACAAGATCTTCCATACATCAGGAATTACTTCTAAACTTAGAAATCTTTGAAAAGAGAAGTTCTATACAGAAACAGTAAAGTGAGAAGGAACCTCAGAAAACAGAATTTATGAGCTCATCATCTATTTTTTTACTAAGAATATGAACTACAACTGAAAGACACTTTTTCCTGGAACCCTCTGCTTCCATTCATGATCTCATGATGCACAAGCATTTCCTCTGCTTGTAAAGTAACAGCACCAGTGACTGCAGTGGTCCAAAGAACACAGCTCTTGGCACATTTCTGCCATCCTTTACAGGTGTGGGGGAGGACAACCAGTCAAACAACTGGCTTTTAGAATATTACCAGCAAAAACTGCCCATATCACAAGGACCTCCCTCTAAAACATTGTCTGGAATGATCACTGATTACTGAAATTTAACATGAACTCTACATTCTGCTGGTACACGGAAAAGGTGTGGCTCTATCAAACACGGCAGGAGTGTTACCATAATATGCAGAAAACATTGTGTAAAATTTGTGTACTACAACCTGTTCTCACTTTGTCCCTCCTTCTGACAACATTAGCTGGCTGTAAGCACACAGGCTTCTCTACAGGAAAGAAATGGCACTTTATGTTTACTGGGGAGAGATTTTTTTGTGTGTGGAGAGGGTGACTGGGAGAGAATTGCCTGATTTTTCAAGAGTGGAGATAATGAGATAACAGCAGACGGTTTCAAGCCTCAATCAAGTCTCTGTACGCCAAGCTTCAACAAGATCTTCTTTTTCCAGGTCTGAGTTACAAACCCTTGACTGGTCAGTAAGGAGTTGTTTACCTGATAGAAGCAAGGGGGCAAATTCCTTTAGATTGATGCAAAACATTTTCCTACTCTGGAAGTCAGAAAGGGAGGAGTACCAAGTTTATTTATGTAGCTCAACCAGCAGCCAAGTTATGAGGATGCCTTATTGTGTAGAGTTCAGAAGTGTACATTAAACTCCTCCCTTTAAAGCAATGCAGAAGGAAAGTTGCCGTTCCCACTCCAGGAGTCAGGAGCAAAGGGGAGAGAAACAAACAGCAAGGTTGCTGTTTGACATAGTTTTCTGTCACAATGCTTATGATTAACCAAGTGAAGAAAGAATGACAGGGAACAGAGAGCTTGCACAGATACCAGAGCCAGAGGGAATGACAACAGAAGTGCCCAGGGCATTGGGTGGTCTTGTTTTACAAAGCCAGATTAATTAACCAGACACTAAAGGACATCTCTTTTAGAAAATGAAACACGTTAGAAAGCAAAACGCCTCAGAGAGTGAGCAGCTAGGGAGCTATAACTAAATTACTAAGTACAAAATGAAGCAGCCTGCAGAGGAAATGAGTAATTAAAAAACCCTCCCCTGAGCGACAGGCTGGCGAGAGAGGGATAACTCCAGGACCCTGGTGCTGGAGGTAAGCAGTACCAAAGCCAAAACGTGACAGATGACAACAGATGTTTTATACAAACAACAACTCCCCAATCTCCTGCCTTTACAGCACACTCAGGGATGGCATTAGGCACAGTCGGTCTGGAACAACCTGAGGAGGTGCACACAGGAATTACATCACCCACCACTATCACGCTGCTGCCCTGGGGTGAAGCACTGCAGTCGCTGGACAGTACTCAGCAGCTATAAACAATGTTTTCAGAGGAAGAAATAGATTAACATCAACCTCGTTCTTCTTTCTGCAAGAGAATTTGACAGAGCACAGACCCTGGTAGCACAGCAAACCCCTCTCCTCTTCCATAAGGAAGCAAAGACACCCTTGGGCACCTGCTGTCCTGGTGAGCAGCATCACTCCCAGCCTGACCTGACTCCTTTTTTTCTGCTGCTCCACAGAGACACCAAGAACAACACCTAACTTGCCAACCCTTAAGTAAGCAATTCTGGCAATGTGGTTTCCAACTTTTTCCACTAGATCTTTTCCAAGGAAGACAAGCCTTGGGTGTAGCAAGTTTTAGCCCACTGAGAGTCCTTCCTTCTTCTCTTTCTGAAATCCTTAAAAGCCACTAGTTGAACATGAGTCTGTCTGCAGGCAAGTATGGAGGATGATGATGACCATGGGGGACACCCTGCAGTGGGGAGCTTACACTTCACGCTTTTTCCCCAGGCATGGCTCTCTCAGAGGGAGCAGCCCCAGTCCCAATGAACATCATCCTCTTTCTCAGCCACAGACGGCAGCAAGGCTGGGAAGGTGAGAACATCCCACGGTGATGCTGAGAACCTCATCAGGCAGATGTCCCTCAACACAACCTCAAGCCCTCCACTAGGTGAGTGTTCCTCACCCACTGTGACCAGCTTCAAGTGAGGGGACCTTCACTGTCCCCTAAGGCTCTCTGCGAGCAGGGGGATGCACCATCGCTATCTCAAGCCCTCCACCTTATTCAGAAGCAGACCCTCACCATCCCCTGAGACCCCTGATGGGCAGCGGGACCCCTGACCCCTGTTTCCATCAGCTGTGGCCCCTCACCATCACCTCAGGCCCTTCTCCTGGCAGATACACATCCCGTGCATGGGACACGGGCAGCTCACCGCCTGCTCCGTGGGGCGAGGGACCCCTCACCGTCCCCTCCTCGAAGGAGCCCCCGCTCCGCCCAGCCCCACGTCCCCTCCCTGGGGCGGAGGGTCCCTCTCCGGCCCGGGGGCCGCTCCTGCCCCGCGGAGCGGGCCCGGCCCGCCGCCCCCGGCCCCCGGCACTCACTGCGGCGGGAGCTGCAGGGCCGGGCCGCCGCGGCGCTGGAAGGCGCCGTCCACGAAGACGCCGTTCTTGCCGAGGCAGCGCAGGTAGAAGTGCGGCTCCTGGAAGCTGAGCTGCAGGTGCCGCCGCGAGATGAAGCTGGAGTGCCCCATGTTGACGTCCACCGAGCCCTGCGAGGAGTTGCGGCCTATGGTGACGGCCGGCTGCCGCATGAGGAACTCGAACTCGCGGCCCTGCAGCCGCGCCAGCACCGGCCCGGTGCAGGCGGCGGGCGGCGCGGCCGGGGGCGGCGGCCCGGGAGGGGGCGCGGCGGCGGGGCTGCAGGGCGCCGAGCGCAGCGCCAGCAGAGCCCGCGCCCCGCTACTGTCCTCCCCGACTTCGGCCATGTTCCCCGGCAGCGAGCGAGCCAGCGTGCCGGCCTCCGGGGCGGGGCCGGCGGGGCGGGGATGGCGGGGACGCGGGGCGGGGCGGGAGCCGCGCCGGCCGCCGCCTCCCCCGGCAGCTCCGCCGGGTGCGGCCGCCCCGCCGCGGTCCGGGGCGCGGGGCGGGGGCGGCAACGGCGGGCGCGCGGCGCCGCCTGCGGGCCAGGGCGGGCAGCGCACCCGGGCAGGTGTGAGGGAGCGGCCGCGGCCCGGCCCTGCCGGCGGTTAAACCGCTCCGAGCCCGCCCGGGGCCGCCAAACACCCCCGAGCCGCCGCAAAAAGGCCGGCTCCGGGCTCCTGTGGGCACGGGAAGGTCCATGCCACGGCACGGGTCTGGTCACTGACGTGGGCTCGCTTCGGTGGCCTTTTGCTGCCTCTCCATGGAAGCATAGAATGGGTTGGAGGGATTTCAAGATCACCCAGTTCCTGCCCCTGCCATGGCAGGGACACCTTCCACTGTCCCAGGTTGCTCCAAGTCCTGTCCAGCCTGGCCTTGGGCACTGCCAGGGATGGGGCAGCCACAGCTTCTCTGGGCACCCTGTGCCAGGGCCTCCCCACCCTCAAAGGGAAGGATTTCCTCCCAGTACTTCACATAAATTTCCACTCTTCCATTTTGAACCCGTTACTCCTTGTCCTCTCACCGCAGTTCCTACCAAAGAGGTTCTCTCCAAATCACATCATAGACAACTCCGTGTGCTGGAGAGACGCCCCAAGCCCAAACCAGCCTGCTCCAGGCTTTCTGTGGGGCAGGGGCACATACAGCCTCTGGCTGGTCTCTGACATGAGCCGGGTTCAGTGGCCTTCTGCTGCCTCTCTATGGAATCATGGAATTTTGGCTTGGAAGAGACACTAAAACTCATGTGGTTCCACAGCCCTGTCGTGGGTAAGGATGCCTTCCACTAGACCAGGTTGCTCCTAGCCCCATCCAACCTGGCCTTGAACACTTCCTTAATGACGACCCTGGACTGTTTGCTGAGGCTTGCTGAAAGGGGAGATTCATCCCACATCCACAAAGGTGTGAGGGTTAAAGCACCTTAATGGCCTTTTGAAGAGTTTATATATACATATATGTATTATAAATATACATATATATAAATACATATACACTCATCTGTGAATGTATATAATCATATAGTGTTTTTATATAGATTTATACTCATACAGTTTTTAATTATAAGGGACTGTGTAGGTTGTTTAGCTTGCATTACAGCATTTCTTGAAATTACTTTTTATATTTCTGTTTGATTATGTATTATATTTCTATCTATATTTATATTAATGATAAAGGTCATGTTCAGTGCCACAACAGCATATATTTGGCTCATGTGTAGTCTGTGCTATACATACATATCCAGATAAACTTATATCCAGATTAAACAAAAAATGTTTCTGTATAGGCAAGCTGGTGATACTTTGCAGAATCCTGAGTAGTTAAATAATCACAAAATACAATGAATTTGAGGATGTGGGAGAGGGAGCAGCTGTAGTTTTGTATTGCTTCAGCCTGTGTGGGGAATGTATGTGTCAGCTCATAGCAAGGCTGCTCAACAGTTTTGAGGAGACGGGGGAAAAAAAATCCCACAACTGGTCAAAAGTGCAGAGCAAATTTCAGCAATGAAAACTGTAATTAAATGAGCTGGAATCGGTCCAGGACCACAAGGTTAACATCCCTCTTCCTGGAACATCTTCCCTGAGATGTTTAATGACTGCTGAGCAGTCGGGACCTGCGTTAGACATCTCACCCGAGACACCGTCTTCACTGAGTGCTCTTTGCCTCTGCAGTTCAATACCAACCGAGAGGAAGAGAGAAAAGCACAAAACACCAGAGCCACTTCCTCCACACCAGTGGCAGCTCTGCAGCGAGACTCAGCCAAGCAGGGCACAGCAAAGGGTTGCAGGAGAAGGAGGAAAAACATCCACATAGGGGGAAGAGGGAGGAGGGAGATGGTCTTAGCTGGGATCTGAGCTCCTCTCCTGCCCCAAACAGCTCAGCATCAGCAAACTCTTGTGGCCAAAAATCAAAATGTGGCCATCAGGTAGAGCCAGAGCTACATGCTGCCTGACAAGAGCTGGCTCAGGCTTTTACTCCATCCACCCTTGGATAAGTGTGCTGTTACCTGAGCTTAAAGATGGACCCAAGCTGGTAGGCAGGTGAGTGGCAGCAAGCAGGACAAGACCTTGTATCAGAGCACACTGACCTGCCAAAAAAAAAAAAAAAAAAAAAAAAAAAAACCAACCAAAAAAACCCCCCAAAAAAACAATTAAAAGAGAAAGCAGTGCCAGAGATTTTAGTTCATGTCTAAAGCTTTTCTAACTCCCAAATTTGACCAGGAGGACCCCAAAAGGACCAGGAATAGGGTGAGGCTGTTACCAGATGTTGTCGGTAACTGTTTCTAGGGCTGCCTGAGAAAACACATTGTGGGCAGGCTGGGTCAGGGCAGGAGCCAACCCCCCATGGGCAGGAGCAGGGCTCTGGTTCCAAACTCAGGAGGTGAAGGGAAGCCCCATGTGGCCCTCTGATGTGGGGCCAAGAGACATGTCACTGCAGGGCTGGGTCCTGTTACTGCTCCCACATTCGATACAGGCTCCGGATTTCTGCAGCTCCAGTTAGGGAATAACCCAAGGGCTGATAGATAAGGCTGTCTGGGAAGATCCTTGCCCCAAAGGCTCCCCAGCTGCTCAGGACAGAGCTGATGCAGCATCACTGCTCCAGGGCTGTGGAACTGGTGATGTCAATGGGCATGTCCACACGTGTCACTGTCATCTGCAGCCACTGGGACACTCCAGCCACACCAACTGATGAGATTTTTTCTAACAAGTCTTTTCCTTTCTACTTCTGAGAAATTTCTTCTGAGTGGCATTTTCTGCTTAAGCCAGCACTACTGCTGAGATAAATCCCAGCTTCATGCACAATGTGATCAAGTGGTGTACAGAAACAGGATTCCTCTGAGCTGCCTGGTGGGTTGTGCTTAGCACCGTGTCTCAGCAGCCCGTCTGCCTGCGGCATCCTTTCCCTAAGCTTCTAACAGAGGGCTCTGCTGGCAGCCTGCAATGCTCTGTTCAGCTCTAATCTGCCCTGCAACAGCATCAAACCAAGGGCCCTTCAGCCACAGCAACACCTTGTGCTCCTCCAGGCAGCTAATCCTGCTTGAAGTCAAGCCGGCTGCCCCGGTGTAAATGCCTGATGTAAACGTACTCAAGATTGTTTGAATTAAGTTTATCTCGTCCTGCATGGCTGGACTTTATAGTTGCTCCTTTTCCTCTGCAGGGTTTTAGATGGTTGTGTCAGCAGATGTGGCCAAACTTCTTAACTCCATGAGTTGCCTACCATAATATTTGGATGGCCAGGAGATGCCTGCCAGGTTTCAAGAGGTGTAGGGAGCCCAGCACGGTCCTTGTGCCACCTGAGATGTGGATCTGGGAATGGCACCTCGGCCATCCCTGGCCATCCAAACTGTCCTGCTCCAGCCAGAACTTGCTCAGGCACTACCATGGTGTGACACCAACACAAGCACATGCAGAAATAATCCCTCCTGGCACTTTGTAGAAATGCCTTTGGCCATTTTGAGATGCTGCCCTGCCTCATCTCTCTGTGCAACACAGGACAATCTGAACTGGGAGGAGAAATCAAACATTCAAACAAAGCAGCTGTGAGAGCAGAAAATATCTGGGATGGAGTCAGGGTTACTCAGAGAGTGGTGTGCAACCCAAATGTCCTTTGTCAAATATTTGTTTGGCTGTGTCATTGCTGACTGTCTCAACACAGCAAGAATCTGTTTCATGCTATCAGTTGTGGGCAAATGAATGTAATGGGTTGTTATGGTCACCCAGATACCACTGCATTGGGCAAACACAAATCTTGCAAAAACAGTGATAAAAGGGCACGTTTCTGCTTTTATCTGCTGGATGGTGTCTGCTTAGAAACACTGAGTTTCTAGAAGTGAAATGCTGCATTTCTATAGCATTTCACATGGCTGTTGCTCACTGTTCCGATGCCTGAGACTCCATACATATTTATCAAGCCCCAGTTCTGCAAGGAATCTGCTTGGCTTCAGTACTGCAGGAAATCTGTTCTACCCCCAGACCAAAGCATCATTGAAAAGCAGCTTGGACAGAAAGGAATGATGAGAGCTGTGCACTGGGCGTGAGCCACTTGATGTATTTACCCAGCAGCCAGACAACACATTGATGCTCACAATGAAAGGCAGCCTAATGTGTGCAGCCCTGACCTGGGAAGGAGGAGGAGAAGAGTGAAGGAAAGCAATTACTCTAAGGAAAAGACTGCTGTCTCTGTGCCAGCCCAGTCCAGCATTTCTCCTGAGCACAGTGCCAATCTCATGGGGTTAATGGCGATAAGGCTTTCACTGATGTAAGTGTGCATCATTAGCAAGCAAGCAGAGACTTCAGCACCTGCATCGCACAAACACTTTGATAAAATACAAAAGAAGAGGGCAGTGTTCCCTCAAATTCCAGCCAATCTCTCTGCAGCACTTTTTCCTTTCCCTTCTCTCAGCCCTCAAGTAGGTTATAAATGCTGTTGTGGTTTTTGTCCAAACTGATTGGAAGCAGTGTAAGTGATGAGCAATGTGCCCTGGATCTGTGGAGCTACTTTCCCCTGCACACCTGAGCTCAGGAGCAGCCTCACTTTTCTCTCCAGATGGGTGGGTTTTAATTCTGCTTTGTGTCTCAGGGAAATCACCGTGATATGACACAGGAACAAAAAGAGGTTTGCACTTATACTGGTAGGACTTTCTTCTTAACCAAGCAGCTGCAAGAAGTTAAATAAAATTCATTGTTTTGAAATATATTCAGGCACATCACAGTATCTGTCACACACACACACACACACACACACACACACACACACACACACACACACTCTTGCATGGGATTTCTACCTGTTTTCTCAATTCTGTCACAGCATCTGTGCTTTTAACTCGATCCTCATGTCTCTCAGTGATGACCCTTGTGCCTGATCTGGGACAACCATGTAAATGTCCCTGCCTGCCAAAAACTGCATCCATGGCATGGC